ACATTGTATGTATGTATGTATGTAGGTATATAATTATTAAGTCGAGGAATTAATTGAGTGGGTGGGATTTATTTCATGTTGTTCTATATACTACTAAGTAGATAGAAGATAGAAGTTGGGGAAGGTATCACGGCGTACCTTCCATATCTTACAATCACATGCATCTAACTTTCCTTTCTCTCTCCCCCATCGGTTCTCATTATCTCCAATTTCCCTTATTGATGGATGTAACGCTTTTTCTTACCCTAAAATACCCTACAAGTGTATTTCGCATTACCCGATAACTTCTCGTCCCTATTGTGGCAAGTAAGTAGTAATGCTGGATGGGCTGGGCTGGCTGGTCGGGGGGGGCTTTGCGTTTGTTAAAGTTTTTCCACCCGCGCCGCCGAAAGTCTAAGGGCCATTCCAAGTACACAGTAAGTGGATTCTGCCGCTTTGTGTTCGAGTCGTGGAGCTGGAAACTAGACACTCTGTACTCCGTACATGCTGTAAGGCGCGCCACTACTGTCCACAGTCGGTAGATACATTCTGCATGCGGAGGAAATCACATGGGGGTTCTTCATTCATTCATTCGATTCGAGACCAGACCTTGTCGCGCTCAGGACCGTTCGTGTGCAAAAAGTCGATGATCCGTTCAATACCTCTGTTGAATCTGGACGCACGCATTGGGTTGGGCGAGGCTGGTTGGTTCTTTTGGTCGGTGGGATAAATCGAGAATACCATACCCACGGCATGTGAAGATTTGGAGAAAATCAAAAGGGTCTGTCTGTCAGGGCGTAGGAGTGAAGCAAGCAGTGAGCAGCTGGCTGGGGAAGGATCATCACTACTCTTTGTGTTTTGTAGGTACTGTAGTTCAGCTGGTCCTCTCCAGTTCTTGATTTCTGATAAGATGCCCGAGTCATCTCCGACCCATTCAGACTGACTAGTTAGTCTCTTTTGTTTTTTGTTTTTTTCGTCTCCATCCGAGGTGTCATCTGTCCGCGCATGGTGACTGGTGAAACTGACCAGTAAAAAATATCCGAATGCCACAGGGCCAACGACCAGCCCCCTCCGATAATCAAACTGGAATAATAACTGTAATTCTTCATCGGGGTTCATGCCTACCGCCCAAGGGGGAAAGCTGCCAAGATTGTTGGGAAGCCAATACCCGGCTGTGGGGCCTAAAATCAAAGTCCTATTGGTTCCAGCGGGGCGGTGAGCCTCCGCGGTTCATGGTCCCTGGTAACCCATGCTCGGGTTTGTTTCTGGAACGTGAAGTATTTTGCAATACTCGAGCCACATGGCCGGTTAGTCAGGAGTGCAACCACACAATCTTATGATCTTCTGGCGTGCGGTGAGAGAGAGCCATGCGGTGGAGGATCTCGGCTTAAAGGGGGCAAAGAAATAATCCCTCAGCAGTGAGCACACCCCGGAATGCAAATGACACTCTCGCCTCTGGCAAATAGGCCGGACGGATCAGCCGCCCCCTTCCAAGCAAGCAACAGGTGGCGTATACATCGCATCAACCAGTCACGGATGGCCCGCAACCTAGAGGGTTCATAGGCATGCGCATCTCGGGCAAGCCACAGACCAGACTCCTGTGTCGACCTCGGCTCAAGTATCCAGATTCTCCATGATCTTGCTTTGAGTCAAGCAGATTAACTTCCTACGACCTTGCCAGATGCGTCGATCGAGCCAGTGATGAAACCATCTGCAGATGTAGAGCATGTCACGCAAAAGGCAAACCGCGCTGAGATGGTCCAGTAAGCGCCGCCGAGGTTATCCATCCACCCGATCCCTTCTGTAGGCCAAAATGACAGGACAGTGTGAGATGAGAATGCGAATACTGCAGAGTGTAATGTTGTCGGGTCGTAATCTTCTCGTAAGTCGGGACGCCGTCCCGTATCAGCACGGCAGCCCCTGACCAATCAGATGTGTCCCACCCAATACAAATTTTTCGCGGGAGATCCCCCGTAACGCAAAATTACCAGCCCAGGGGCCCGGCGGGACTCGCATCCAGATCGGGTGTTTCTGGATGGCTTTGCCTTCTGGGCTTCTTCTTCTTCGACTGCACTAGAAATCAGTCTTCCCCAATCAATTCGCGTTCGTTTGGTTCTTGGGTGTTTTTCCCCCTTACCTTTTCCTCTTTTGCAATTTTTCTTTTTTGTCCTCTTTTCGGGACCCTCATTTTTTCTTTTTTGTTTTGCCTCCCCCCTCCTCTCCCCGGGTTCTGCTGAACGCTGAACAGGTGATCATCAAACAATCGCCCTTCATTTTTTTTTTCTTTCACTCTTTTCGCCTCTGTCCATCCGCGTCTTTTCTCTCCCTTTGAACCATCCCGTCCCACTTCTCCCTCCGGTCAAGGCTCTTTGGAGGCGACCATTTATATCCTTCCGATTGTCACCCTACCTCTCCTTCCCTCTTTTCTTCCCCCCCGATCCCAACCCTTCCGTCTCCTTCGCCGCGTGGGAGCTCAACGCCATCCAGTGCCTACCTTGAGCTGCTACAGCTTTGGCGCCGTGTTCTGACCCATTGGTATGTTGACTTGTTCTTTGCACAGGCTGAAGCATTGAACTCTGGCTAACAGAGCTTCCAACCTTTAGACTTCACCGTCTTCGAGCTCGAGAACACATTCTTGTGGGCAAGCTTCAACATGTCTTCCACAGCTCTCCCCAAGCGCGTTGCGCTGCACCGCAATGCTACGGATTCGTCCGTTCCCAGCTCGGTCACCCCCTCCCCGCTGGACAGCCCTCGCCAGTCCCCTTCGTCCACTTCCCTGTCCTCGTTGGCGTCGGAGGCAGAGGCCAGCGGCAAGATGCTGGACACCTATGGCAACGAGTTCAAGATCCCGGATTATACCATCAAGCAGATCCGTGATGCCATTCCCGCCCATTGCTATGAGCGCAAAGCTCTCACCAGCTTGTATTATGTCTTCCGGGATGTCTTCTGGCTCGCGACCATCTTCTATGTCTTCCACAACTACGTGACCCCTGAGACCGTCCCTTACAAGCCTGCAAGAGTCGTGCTGTGGGCTCTTTACACCATCGTGCAGGGTCTGTTCGGTACCGGTGTCTGGGTTTTGGCTCATGAGTGCGGTCACCAGGCTTTCTCTCCCTCCAAGGTTCTCAATGACACTGTTGGTTGGATCTGCCACTCCGCTCTTCTGGTGCCCTACTTCTCCTGGAAGATCTCCCACGGAAAGCACCACAAGGCCACCGGCAACATTGCCCGCGACATGGTGTTCGTGCCCAAGACCCGGGAGCAGTATGCCTCTCGCGTCGGCAAGGCTCTGCACGAGCTCAATGAGTTGATGGAGGAAACCCCCATCGCCACTGCCTTCAACCTCCTTCTCCAGCAGCTCTTCGGTTGGCCCATGTACCTGCTCACCAACGTCACTGGCCACAACAACCACGAACGTCAGCCTGAAGGTCGTGGAAAGGGCAAGCAGAACGGCTACTTCGGCGGTGTCAACCACTTCAACCCGTCTAGCCCTCTGTACGAGGCCAAGGATGCTAAGCTCATTGTCCTGAGTGACATCGGTCTCGCCATTGTCGGAAGCATTCTGTACTTGGTCGGCTCCAAGTTCGGCTGGATGAACCTTCTGGTTTGGTACGGTATCCCCTACCTCTGGGTGAACCACTGGCTGGGTAAGTAACTTCCTTCATAAACTGGCACAATTGCTGCGCCGAATACTGACTGGAAGATATAGTCGCCATCACCTACCTCCAGCACACCGACCCCACCCTCCCCCACTACCAGCCTGATGTCTGGAACTTCGCCCGTGGTGCCGCTGCCACCATCGACCGTGACTTCGGCTTCGTCGGCCGTCACATCTTCCACGGTATCATCGAGACCCATGTTCTCCACCACTATGTCAGCACCATCCCTTTCTATAACGCCGATGAGGCCAGCGAGGCCATCAAGAAGGTCATGGGATCGCACTACCGGACCGAGGCCCACACTGGCTGGACCGGATTCTTCAAGGCTCTCTGGACTAGTGCCCGTGTGTGCCACTGGGTCGAGCCCACCGAGGGTGCCAAGGGTGAGAGCTCCGGAGTGCTCTTCTACCGTAACACGAACGGCATTGGAGTTCCTCCTGCCAAGCTTGAAAAATAGAGCATGTCTGTCGTACATAGAACGAGTGATATCTTTTTTTTCTTTCTTTTTTGGAATTCTTTATTTCCCTTTTTCGTCAATCTTTTTTTCCGCAACACGTGGTGCTCTCGCAGGATCGACATGGACCACGGTATGACACTTCCTGTTGTTATGTCATAGACCAACTGCGAGTTGTTTCGAGCTGAAGGCGTATACGGAACATGGGGTAAGGGTTTGAACGTGTAGAAGGGCCAACGTCATGTCTGATTTAATCGTCCACTATTATGAATGTAATCCGGAAGGGGGATCGTGTAATATGATCAACAAACAGCTTTCACGCTTTCAGTGCAGCTCGAATCGAGTAATTTTCTAGTTGTCCTTTGTCTTTGATGGGATCTCGATACGGACCTCTGTTACCATCGTTATGGACAATCTGACTGCAACTTCGCAGTCAGAGTTGGATCTGGTATGTCTGACCAAGCATCCTTCATATCCGACGACTGAAGACCGAACGGTCGAACGAACAAGCGGAATGGGAGAAGCTCAGCAAGTCCCCAGCTGGCTGACAGCGTCCGGACGGACCCACCGCATCAGAAAAGAAAGCGATAAACTATTGGAAGGCTGACACCTGGGCACTAGTGATCACATTGACCCAACCCAAAAAGTAAGCATAAAATTAAGGTGGGAATAGTGTGGGCGTGTGGGAAGGGCACTGAAGAGCTTAAACCTTGGATGAGTTAAGTTAATGTTAGTTGGTGGTGGGCAAAGGAAAGAAAGGAAACAAAACTGCGGGGGCGCCCGTTCCGCCAGACGCCGAAAACAGACGCTAGTCCCGGAACAGGTGAGACCCCTGGTCAGTATCCAGCAGGAAAGCCTCGGACGGTTTTACAAAAAGAAAAAGTATATTCAAAAGAAGAAGTAGGAAGTGGAAGAACAGCGAGTCAGAAATATATTGTTCGTGTCGTAAATCGTGACAGGGAATATCGCGCTATATGGTGTCAAAATCTTCTGTACAGCCCCTCAGCCCTCCCTTCCAGATTTCAAACTCCGCCTCGTGTTGGATTTCGCCTTGTTCTGTGACTGGTCCGGCAGTCCAGGGGGCAAAAACAAGTTTCATGGTCCTTCGGACGCCTCGTGTAACTGCCTGTGTTGACACTGGTAAGGATTGCCCAGTTGTTGCATGATCATCACGGACAATATTCGGCACACTGAGATTTGTCTTCTCGTCTACTGCATCGGTCTCGTCCGGTGGTGCAGAGACTGCAGGGCTGTGTGCTCTAGTATGTTCTTCACTCTCCGTTGGTACCCGTGATTCCGAAGGCTCATTAGCCTGTTCTCTTGCTGTAGGCAGCAATTCTTTTTCGCTGGAGACAAAGGTATCCTCTAGGATGGCCTCCCAATCCACGAAGCGGCTCTCCTTCTTCAGTGCAATGCGACATGCAATCTGGGTAGACCAAACCAAGCCCAGAGCTGGGGTCTTTTGTGCGGTTTGTTGAAAAGCTGGGTACAGGCTTGAAATAGTAGGTTGTAGCGTGTCACCCCACCCAGTGAAGAACCTCTGTTGGTGTAGAAGACTCAAAATCTCGTTTCGTACAGGGTTGCCAATCAGGTATGACCCGTCGAACTGCTGCTGCTGCTGCGGATCATCCTCCGTGGTGAACGGTGATGAGGGAAGACTAGAGGGTGATGGTTGGAGGACCGGATTATGTGGAGTCAATTCGACATTTCGGGACTCAAGAGGTCGACTTCTTGGTAATGGTGTAGCAGCTTCTGATTCGTGATGTGACGACAGCACTTGCTGTTGTGTGGAAGGAATAGGTGAGATGGCACCGCCATTCAAACGAGATAGTGTTGGATGCCTGCCAGCAGCTTCAATGCGATCAGAAACTTGGTTCGCTACTACAACTGCGACATTCTCGTCCACAGCCAAGTTCCTCAACATCTGGCCTAATCTGGCAAGCTCGCCAGAGCGTGTGGACAACCCCGACAGATTATGGGACGAATGTTCCGCCCGGTAGTTTGCAGTTATGGAGTCGATGATCACGAGTCCAACATTATATCGCTTGATTGCGACAGGGAGTTGGTAGTTGAGGATGTGATCTTGTGCCTCGAGATCCATGGCATTGATGGACAATATATTCTCCAGCGAGGGCTTGTGGGCTTGAGACAAGGTAGAGAGATATGGATGGAATTCAATGAGCTGCGAAAGCCGTGGTGTCGATAATGGAGCTTCTGTGGAGATGTATATGGCACACTTGCCCAGGCCACGAGGTGCAGGGAGTTGAGCGGCCAGAAGAAGGGTGAGAAGGAATTGCGTCTTTCCACTCCCACTGTGACCGATTAACCGTTAAGTCAGGACGTCTCGAATACGAATGAACTCACTCTGGGGAGCGAGTATACGCACCTCTCACCAGTTACCTCAGTCACATAACCCGTCGGTATGCCACCATCGAGCAGAGCGTCCAACGTGGGGTCGAGGGTACTGATCGCGCTCCACTGTGATAGGTCTAGCTTGGTTGTCGGGCCTGGAAAGACAGGAACGTCGACACTGAGGCTGGAGCTTGGCTCATCAGAATCGGGATCTCTGTTTTCCTTGAAACCGACATCATGATGGAAAGCTCTTATGATCTGAGCGGACAGGCGGCGGACATCGGCGGGAGGGACACGAGCACGCTTTGCGACTTCGAGGATGTCGAGAGTGATCAAGTCGACCGTGCTGATATGGCTTCGCTCAAGAGGCGGGAGAATATGAGCATATGGCTTGGTAGGGAAGTCCGGAAGGACCGACAAAAGATCCATAAGCGTGGAGGTGGAGGAAGTCGATACTGGAGACCCTCGGTCATCTCGTGCGCGACGCGGAGAAAACGCGGGTCCACGTGCTGCCGCCCAGCGGCTTCCCTTTTTGGAACTCTTTTGGTCCAACTCACTTTCTATGAAGTTGTCCTGAAGTCTATTTATTAATCAAGTCATGTATATTCCAGGATACTCCTACTTATCTAAGTACATAGTGGACTCTACCTCCTCATACTATAAGCATGATGTTGAAAACATACTTACCCGAGCACTCGATTATATATCTATCCCACCACACCGTCCTTTGGCATGATAGTCAGCACCATCAATCAACTCCATAAATGATCCAGAGCACCATCATGTCGATGGATCAAAATACCAATAAGTAGTACGAGAGCCAACTCAGAGATTAGTATTTTGTCACTGCAGTACAGGTTCTCAATGAAAGCCCTGATCCTCTCAATCATTGCCTCTTCGCCGCCACAAGACTATCTCCTGCCAAACACTTTTCTCGAAGGCCAGTGTCTACACTTTCTAATCTGCATCACGGCTCTGGACATCCGAATGACTTTGTCAAGTTACCAGAAGCATGTGGAGCATTTTCCCAACTTGGCTGTCGTGACTGACTTCATCAACTGAGTCGACAATCCATCCGTGAACGGTGCAGCAGCAGGACTATCTGAGAATAGAAGGCTGTGCCAGTGTCGAACACTGGCTTACAGAAATTCCAGATGGGTAGCCCCTTATCAAGTCATTCGCTTCCTGTTTCTAAACAGTGCTCGTCACTTGTCAAAACAACATCCTAGTCCGCACACCGGTACTAGAAGCAGAGCTGAAACTACTGCGCCAATAACTTGTCTGAGGACCCGCACATCAGTATTCATCCCTTGGTCTTCACATATATGCATTTGTTTCAGTATTCTCAACTGACTGTTATGCTCTTCTTCAGCAGCGCTCAAGTAGGGGGTTTGTTTTAGGTCCTCTGAAATTGACTTGCAGTCGTTTAAACTACGGGGTTCACCAGCGAACTTGCAAGGCAACTTAACCCAATCATGTGCACCGAGACTGGAGAACAACGCGCGAGACAGAATATGATAAGCTGGATGTAAGGAAGTGAGCGCATCCACCCAGTTTGTTTGCATGACAACGACATGTTGCCATGACTAGAACTAGGAATAACATCAAAGTGTTCAAAGTTTCGGTCAGAGGCCTTGGATCGACGTCGACAACACTCAAAAACCGCAATTACGCCGCTATGCATCTTCTCCTCTGGCGACCGACTAAGAATGGTGGATATAGGGTGCATCTGTGCCCAAATATTTACTCAAACTGTCAACAGTGCCTCCCTTCCCAGACCCTTGCGACACATCAGCTGCACACCTGTACCAAGCCCTAGATGAAAGTCCAATGATGACGCGAAGCACCCCGTATCAGTTAATGCGCTGGCGAAGTAGGTGTTTTTCCCTTCCTTCTATGGGAACCACGATGTCTATCCCACATTGGACACTAACATACATACTCCAAACCCACATATCCTAAACAGTACGTACATTGCCCATCTTAACGTACAGTAATCAAATCATTATATTGTTATCCGGACATAGAAATACCGAGTTATGCCGGAATCCATGATATGTCTCGCACTATGAAAGAAGTAAGGGGTCGGAATTTGTGTACAGCCACATGGTGCATCTTGGATGGGTGTATCAGGCAAGCATGGAAACGCAATCACCCATAGGGGTTGTAGCAGATTGACAGTGACGGACATAGCCGAGACACGGATGGGTATGTGGCCATCGCTCCTTGCGTCAGGAACCTAAAACATCCTCTAGCATGATTCTGGGGTAGGTAAGGATGGCATATGGCAATGAAGGCCCTGCTCGGATATTGGGCTTGGGATACTGAGCTATGGCTAGTGAGATACTATAGCATGAAACATGCCACGCCTCATACAGCCTCGTCATTTTCGCCTATCACTCCTCAGGTTAGTATGCATTGATCTTAGCAACAAGGAAGGTCCGAAGGGCAATCGATCTACTCCGTTCTAACACCGATCTGCATTGACCAGGAGCTGTCTTGAACCTGGGAGCATGGCCACTGTGCTGATGACCTGATCATGGGGATGTCTCTGCCTGCTGACCTGAGACCTTAATGGAAGATCATGACGTTATCCTCTTGAGAAATTGCTTCACATACGTGTAGAGTTCCCGACGAGATGCTCTCACACCTACAGGGTGCTTCAAAGGGGACTATCGAGGATAAGCACAAGCACAAAAAGCTGAAAGGGTCTTACACATGTACTAGAACTTTACAGCTAACCTCACCAAGCTTGGTAAAGAATATGGCTGTCAGACGTCGCATGGAATGCGTCGTCTCCCGTACCCTTGGAGCCCAGTAGTAGATAGACTGGAAATTTGCAGAGGTGGGTACCTTGCTTAACAGACTATCAGAGCATCCTGTCGAGAACAAGGCAACTAAGTCTACGGCATGACACTCTTCCAACTAGTTCGGTAGCTGAGCATTCGTACACATGTACTACGGATGAAGAGAAGAGACATCATATTCCCAAGCAGATCATGAATGCCTTGGCAGAAGAGACCCTAAAGAGGTCCAAATTCCGTACCTTTATATTGCGCCAGAAAGGTCATCTCATTGGTGGGAGAGATTTCCAGCACGGCTGAGCACAATGGCGTCCAATTCCAGGACATCGAACCCTATAGCCACATTCTCGATCTAGCGACGTCTAACCCGATTGAGAGGGCCCCAAAGAGTCTGAGAGGGTCTGGACTACTGTATAGTGATGCGTTACTGGCGGTATCTCCTCGATTTTGAGAGCGAAGTCGGTTGATCCCCTATCCCATCTGCATGGTACGTACAGACACTGCCAGTGCAAAGGAGACAGACAGCATCCACTCTGCACCACACAGCACCAGAGAATCAGTCAAACCCACCCCAGAATTTGGCACCGGCCGCCCAGGCACGCACAGACAACAGCGCACCCGCGCGCCCGCGTCCAAGCTCAACGGCGACCCAGAGAGAAAAGGGCAAGGCCTCTAACCTAATCAACCAGAGGCACATTCAAATCCCGACACCGTGCCCGTCGCTGTACCTTGTCCAAAATACGAATAAAAGCCAAGCAAAATCCTTTTACACCACTCACGCTGATTGGAGAGAATCTGGAACATCCCGTTCTTCCCGTTTATCCCGAGAGATACGAGGGAGGGAAAGGAGAAAGAGGGGACTCGATGCATCACATTGGGTGGGGACGCGGATACCACGGCGTCGCGTATAGTAGTCTAGCTCAGGACAAAAAGAAAAATAACGGTCAGCTAGAACATAATTAGACTAGTCAAACTCCTAGCGAGTAGGCTATGTACATGCTTAAGTGTTGTCCCTGGAGGGGGAGGGTACTAAGTAAGTACGATAGTTAGTTAGTTGATAGATAGCTACAGCTAATAGTCATAGCTAACTAACTCATGTTAGGACGGACGGATGGGGAGGTGGGGACATCCAGCTCCGTGCAGTGCTCAATATTTTGACAGCCATGAGAAAAAGATAGATAGATAAACTATTTCCTCCGGAGTGGAGCATCAATGGGGAGGAGGAGGTTGATGATGATGAAGCTAAGATGCACACTCCTCTGTAGCTATTTTTACTATACGACGCACTAGTAGTACATGGCAGCTCTGTATTTATATGATGATGATGAGGAGGAGAGTTATCCATAGTTTAGTATGCACATTCTCTCAGGATAACTCGGATAACTCCCATAGAAAGCAGACATTACGATCAGCTTCGATCCTTGAAGTAATAACTTACTTTCCTTATTATCTTGAAATCAATCTATTATTACTACGTAGTAGTTATGTTGTTACCAAGACAAGAATATAAGCCGATTGCCCAGCCACGAAGGAGGAGGGGGTGTTGTTGGCTGTTAAAATGAAGATCTACGCAAGGAATAATGAAATGTACAAGTGAGAAGATAGACAGATATATGAATACCAGGATGAGAATAAAGAAGCTGTTGTAGTAGGAATATGTGTTGTGCATCGATCGCTTGCTTAAGGGCTGGTCTTTAACTAGTATACAGTATGGTGATGGTTAATGCCAGATGCAGAATTATAATTGTGCATATGATGGTAAGTGTATCCTACTTACGGAAATAGTAACTAGTTAGTTGCATACATAGATGGATGGATAGATAGATAGATAGGTAGGTAGGTGCATTGGGAGGGACTGGTACTTTTGTCTGCATACTAAGCCTCGTGGATCGCGGGATTTGCTAACGGGATTTGAATGAATGGATGGATGGATGGTATGGAGTAATATACTTTTCATACCTCAAGTATGGTCCACGAGAGGGTTTCAGTCGGTGCGTTTCTTTTTCTTTTCTTTTCTTTTTCTTTTTCTTTTTCTCTTAAATCTCATTTTACTCTTTCTCTTTTTCTTTATTTTGCTTTTAGCGTTGTCATGTCACGGGTGATCGGATAGCTACTACTACTCCATAGTGTACTAACTACTCCAATGACCTTCAAATCTACCCCACCAGTGGAAGACCATGAGACCTGCCAAATATGTAAGTTGTGAATGAAATACCCTGCACTTACCGGAGCCATCCCCGTCACTGATTATGGGTGGGAAGAAGCTCTTGGACTCGAGCCTCGGTATGTAATATGGCGGAGAAAATCCAAACTGGGGAGGGGTGAAAGAGGAGAAGGCAGTCGGGGACCATTCGTAAAGTAATCGGTAGTCTGCCACGATCGATGTGGTTAGAGGGCAGGGATGAGTCTCCTGCAGATGCGAGGAATGCACACACGTCTTGCCGACCACCACTCAGTTTGGAGCTCGGTGGGTGGCTTTTTAATCCCCGAGAGCGCCTCAAAATGAAGGTTGTACAACAGACGCTCTTGCTTAGGACCGAATGTCGCCGTCCGAGATACTCGGGGATGGAAAAGATAATGCGACAGAAGAGTGTCGGTAGGAGAGTTTTTGAGGGTTTGAATGCAATAATTGCGATGGTGTGGTGAGGTGGCATTGCCACATCGCCGCCCCGTTTCCCCCCAGGCAGGCTAGCTAGGCTTAGCGTCGTGGCTCGCAAAGTACTTGTGTGTGTAATCCATCTGGTGTTGATGTTTCCAGAGATCAAAATAACCGTATCGCTGTGATAATCTCAGGAAGGACCTGCTCAAGTATGTGCCCGATTTCCCGGCAACTTGTCTTTCGCTTGCTCTCTCTCACGCTACCTGTTACGCCTCCCCAAATACCAGACACCCAGCACTACACATGACCCATGCAGCCCAACCAGGAAGATCCATGCGGGTAGACCCGACAGGGTGGTTACTGGCCAATTTCTCTCGATAGCGCACACTCGGCTTATGCAGCAGAGGCATCCGGACCCAGAAGACAGAGTGCTGGCGAAGTTCACAGCACGGAATGCGTCCAACATGCTTGCCTTGGATGCCTCGACTGGAATCGTTAATCGGCCTGGATGCACATACTTTAGGTGAAAGTATTACACGTCAATGACCAGAGAGAAACGCAACGGTCTAGTATATTGCTACTATGCACCGGCACGGATCCGGCAGCTTTCTGGAACTCATGCAGAAAGAACGGGTCGCTCGGACGGTGGTGCCATGTCTCGGCGGCACGCATGTAAGCAACGGTATCAATTTGGTATGACAACGGTGGTGGTAGTGGTGGTGGTGGTTGATGGGAGCACAAGGCACCTACTTACCTACCATGTACTAGTCGTCGCAGCTAGTTGCTGCCGAATGAATGAAGGATTAATGACAGGAGAAGCAGGCTGTCGATGCAAGTGGGTGGTGGCCGATGCACGCTGTCATCATCGCTTTTCGGTGGCTTCTTGGGATTTCCCCACTCTATTATTCTTCTTCCTTTTTCTTCCCCCTTGTGGGAGAGCATGACATGATCCCAGACTGACTCTCCCTATAAACAGCCGAGACTATACCTGCTAACCATAAATTGATCCTCATTATGATCTCCAGGTAGAGCAGGAGACGGAGGCAATTAGAGTGATTGACATGGAGATCTTCCCGGAGAAAAGTCCCCATTGAGATTCCAGTCCGAAACGCAGGGGTGATAAGCGCCCGTAAATCGACTAGATTCTGCCGGGGAAGGTGCGGTGTGGGCCCGGGACTCTCTCTTGCCCTCTCTTCTTTTCTCTTTTCCGCCAGGAGGGTACAGCCAGTCACGCAGACAGTCTGTTAATCAGTCAGTCAGTCATTCAGTCAGTCGGTCCGCCTGCCACTAAAATAGTAGCACTTGAGTAGTACGGAGTAGTAGCAGTAGTAGGAGCACTGGTTGGTGGTTGCACCATAGCAGGTACACGAGGTGTCCATCACACCGTTATCCCGCAACTTGTCACAGCTACCCCTGAGGAACCAAGTCTATTCATAGTGGTTAGGGTAAACGTCGGTTCGACCATGTCATACTTAACTAGCTAGCTCCAAGCTGACTATGTGCATACTAATCCACCTGAGTATGGAGTAATAGTAGTATGTTACAGAACGAATATCCACGTTCCGACCTACCGTCAAGAGCTCCAAAACAGTGTGACCACACATCTTTTCGCAGTCTTATTAGGTCCGGATAGTATATAATACATAATACATACTCAGCGGAGATGAGGATGCTGTAGGTCTTCAACTACTTTCTCGTCTGGTGGAATGTAGGACAATGCCTGCCTAAAGCCGAGGTGCTGAACCAAACTGTCAAATTGGCTGGAATGGGGCCGCTGTATTCGGTGCGGACCGTCTGGGTGGGGCAGAATGAAACCTTCCACAACCCAGCCATCCATTCCATCCATCCTCCATCCGACTTACTTACCACAGTACAGCACACGATGATCGGGGCTGGTTTTCATGAGTCAAGGGCCATAGCCAAACGGGTGGACGGACCAGGGCAAAGCCGGCGCCTGACGCTTGATCTTTTCCCTTTCAGGGCAGTTTCAGTGGAGTCGCTGGCAGTGGTCGAATCATGTCGCAGGTGGGCACAGGAGGAGGGTGTGGAGTCTCAGCTTCCGATTTGCTGAGCAGCCATCGTCATTCGCAGGTTGCGATCCGATGCTAATCCCAAGCAGGCAAGACCACGGCCTAGATGGGCCTGCAGGCGCCAGGCTCATAAGGCTAAATTACCTGAAGGACCAAAGAAATCCTCCAACGATTTGGGGTCGGGTGTTCTGCGATCGGGGCTGGGGCAATCCCCCCCATTGTCGAGCTGACGACCTGCTTAGTTGGTCACTAAGTAGGGAATAATCCCTGAAAACCGTGAACAGTCCGGGCTTCCCTACTAGAGGCCATTTCGTGCAGATCCAATCTTATTTGGAGGGGGCTGCGACAGGATTTCACATCCCAGGCTCCTGTAGTTTTCAGTTAAGATCGTCAGTGCTTCGATCGGTGCCAGATTTGCTTTTCTCGGATTGTTGTTTGGTTCGCCGTCGGCCGGTACCGGAAATCACCATTTACGGACGGACGATTGTCATTCGCTCATCTGCCACCCAGCTGCTCCTCACGAATGACTGCCTGCTTACCTAGATGAGAGAAAAGAGAAAGAGGAAAAAGAGCATGGAACCTGCATTGCTGCATCGAAGTAGTTCGCATGTGGCCAGCCCTAATTAGGTACGTACCAATGAGTAGGGTGTCGTATTGATCCATACGATAACAAGTAGTCATCTTTAGCGACCGTCTTACGCCTTGAATAGCAGGGGAAGATTCGAATATCTCCTATCTCGAGATTATTGGCTCCAGGCTCGGAGCACACAGCGTACTGAAGGACCTAGCCAAACTCAAAAAGCGTGCCATAATTATCCCAGGGCTACTCACCAACCAGCGGTCCAGTGACAGGCCGCTTTGGGCAAAGTGCCAAAGTAAGCAACTATGCCCACTACTATTAATGAATCCTGAGATCGCACAAGAGGACGGAGTAGCATAATTTCAAAACGTTCGATTTCAACTGACAAATGGGGCAAACCATCCCCAGCCCTCTCTTGAGACTGGCCCATCCCCAGTGCAGCAGATAGATAGCACGCAAACCTGCAGGATTGGCAAAAAGGCTAGCGATGATGAAAAGAAGACAAAGAGCGCATTGACCAACCCCGCTATCCTTCAAAGCTCCTCTTTCTTTCCCAGCTCCCAGGCATTTGGGATAAGCAACCGGCCCGCTGGACTGGGTAATTGCGAGCCCAATAATACAGCGTGTTATACGTGACTGACAGGGGGTCGAGTCGGGTAAGCACTTGTCTCATGTGAAGTGTTGTCGGAATCCAATGATCAGTCATGAGCCCATCCTGGATTGAAGCCCGGTGGATTACCAACACTCTGGTTAATTACACCGTGCCGTAAACTCACTCCTACTCCCAGCTGAAAAGTAAAAGACAAAAGTCACCTTTGCCATATGACTAAGGTCAAGTCTTCTTCTGGATGGTCATCCACTCATTATTGTCCCCAGTCTGATGATTATTCGTATGATTATTGATCCATCTCGAGGGAGTAAAGTCCGTGCTGCAGAACATTCCCAATTATAGAGAGCACCCGGATAAAGTAAGAGCTTTGTAAGTTAGGGAGGAAGGGGGAAAAGCGGGTTTCTTCTCCAGTTTTTTTCAGACGTGCCTCTCGGTCTCTTCTCCGTGCCGGGACTTTCCTAAGCTACAGATCTCAGGAAAGAAACCCCAAGAGCCTTAATGCCGACTGGGTGCCCCATAATGTCCATCGATTTGGAAGCGACGCGACCGCCAGAAAATCACCTTCCAGTTTGACGCGAGAGATCGCCCTTCCGGACAACCCCCTAGAGTCTAGTTTAGCCTGCCGGCCTAAGCTGAGCGCTTGCAACTGGCAGTTACGAGCATCTACCAAGTACTAGGATGCCGACAGGATCCCCTTTGCCCAGCTGCAATTTGAGAAGGTTCGCCTCGATTAAGTTTCATCCATTCAAATTGCGTCGCTTATCAAGTATGGCAGCTCACTAAGCTGTTTATGTCGCTAGTTAGCACCTGGGTATTCCAAGAGGCTTGCTTACTTACTAGTCGTCGTTGTTAATTATTTCATGAAGAAGACCCGACCAGGGAGTTCAGACCTCGTAGCTTGCAAGGCCTGTGAATATTTTGTCGGTTCCAAAAAGGTCACCTTCCTAGTATCAGATATCCGAACTAAGCCCCCTTCTCTTTTTGCTCCCAAATACGAAACAGACGTCGTTCCCCCCTCTTTTTTTTTTTTTCTCTTGAGATTCACGGACCTTCGCCCTTCCCGCCCGGCCGGAAAAGCCCCCAGAGCCAGACCCACTGCCCTCAGTGACTACCGATAAGATTTGTAAAGTATTTTTTGTTTGCTCTTTTGGGGAATTAATCCCTGATTATTTCATTTTGCCTTTCTCGGGTTAAATTTGCATTTTTTCTTGTCACATTTTTATTTTTCTATCTCTTTATTGTTTTTCTCCTATACAAAAAGGAAAAAGGCAAGCCAAGAGGGTCGCAGTCACGATTGCAATGTCCCATTGAACCTAACCGCTGCCTTAGCACTTGGGCTAAAGCAGGAGCGTGGCCTCCCAGTGGATCGGCCTGGCTGCGTTTCCCCTCTTCTGGCTCCATCTCCTTTTCAGTCCGACCCAGTACCCACCCCTCCGGCTCAGTAGCGCAGATTTAGTCTCCTTCATCCTTGGGGGGTGACCGGGTAATCTATGGGAAGTTAAGTACGTGAAAATAATGTGCCAGAGATGTATTAAAACCGAACACTAAGTACTACTTATGGTATGACGAATGACCACTTTAATTTGTAGTTAGTAGTCACGATGGTGGCGTGGAGAATTACAAAGTAAGTAAGTAGTCTGTGAGATCATTTTAAAAATCCCCCCTTCTCCGGGAGAATTTCCTACCTTATAAGCCGGACTATTTTATAAGTAAGGTAAGTGGATGCTTCGTAAGTGAGTAGTAAAGAAGCTATTGCCGTCGATAAATAGACTTGGGGTTTTTAAAATGGGAGAAAGTCGTACCTCCAAAAAAGACTGTAAGAGCCAGACCCGGAAGTGGGCCGTCCGCCGAGCAGGGTAATTTTACCCAATTACACCCACACCCTCGGAGCCGGCTTACCCAGCCAGAAGGTCAAGTTGTGTGAGTCTCTCAGTTCCAGTTCCACCCGCCAAAGTGGGTGTGGTCCATGGTAGGTATAGTCGCTATAGCGCACCTCATCTGCCTTTTCGAACGATCTCGTTACGGCTGACTCTGCCACCCTCCTACTCTTCCTCTCTCTCTGTCTGTATTTCTTCTTTTCCCCCTCCCTCTTCACCCTCTTCTTGTCGGTCACGCTGCTTTTTCTTGGTGGTATCCAACCCTCCATCGACCCCATCCGTCTCCAATCTCTCTCCCTTCCCGTCCATCCTCTCCTCTCTCTCTCTCTTGCCTTTTCCCTCTCCATAGCCCGCTGGGGTCAATTGCTAGGCTATCGGCCATTCTGTCGCTTATCCACCCACGACAGACCCAACTTCTCTCTCATCCACTTGCTTTCTTTTCTCAAATTATAGTCGAACACTTCCATGCTGTGATCCGATCCGCTATAATTTGGAGCGACCGATATCAATTCCAACCTCACCACTCGCCAAGTCTTGTCCGTGTCTTCCAACCGCCGGATCGGTTCCATAGATTTTACACTCGGTCGCGCCTAGAGACTGGCAAAGGAGGACGACAACGACGACAATCACCGTCAAATAAATCAGCACAACTTTTCAATGCCGGCTTCGTTATAGTTACTGTTCCATTTAGACCGAAG